AAAAAAAAAAAAAACAAAAGTGACTAGCCTATGTGTTCTTCCAGACTATCCTCTACATCTACACCAAATTTCATCGAGATCTGTTCAGCCGTTTAGGTTACAATCTCTAACAAACATCCATCCATCCATCTATACTTTCGCATTCATACGAGTAATATTAAGTAAAAAGTAAGATTTAACTTTGCTTTTATTGCGTTGTCTTATTAAAAATTCAGATATTTAATTTGCTTAGAAAATTAGAAATTAATTTTATAACAAGAAAGCATTTGAGAATTCCAATCAGTGCAGCTTCTCTGAGATCACAATAGCGTCGATTGTAAGCACAAAGAAAACTCCCTCGCCTTTGCCGCACCAAATGATCATAATGCTAGTTTCACACGGAGGTAGAACATGGCAGAACAGGCCATGGCAGTACTTAAGGTTTAATGCAAACATAATGTCAAATAAACTGACCACGTATGCAATGAATTGTTCAATTTAGCGATGTAACTATAGACCGATAAATTTATTTAACCCGGTGGGCAAAAATAATACCAAAAGGGTCACAGGATCCTTGTCGTACTGTAGTTGTCCTGTCATTACTATTTTATCTTACTGATATTACAAATGCGAAAGTTTAGATGGATGTTTGTTAGTGTTTGTAGCCTAAACTGCTGAACGGATCTCGATGAAATTTGGCATAGACGTAGACGATAGTCTGGAAGATAAGCTACTCGCTTTTGTTTTTTTTAATTACACTCGGGTTGCGGGCGAAAGCTGAAAAACAATTTTCGTATTGTTCTACTGCATTGTCGGTTTTGCCCGCGTGTGAAACTTACAACAAATACAATGTGTAATCAATTTACACGGACGTTGCAGTACTGTCTGTATCTTTTATCTAGTCACGTTTACACGCTACGTGTTACGTCATTACACTAGTGATGTGCCCAGCTGCATTAATACAAAGTTTACACGGATTATACATGTGAAATGTTGCGACTTTCAGCCTCTCTAGTTCCTGTATGAAAAGTAGTTTTTGTCTCTTTTTAATGCTAATAAGTGAGAAGGATGAAATGTCAACTCACGGCCACGTCTGTTGACCAGTTTATAGTTCATTTTTTTAATACTAAACTTTCTTTTAATTCTCAAGAGTTCAAACTTTGAACTTAATGTTTTGAAAATGTAAAAATTAACAAGTATGTCAGAATTTCTCGCTTGTATCTTATATTTTGTCATAAACTAGATACACCTTCATTGATAACTGAAATTAAAGGTGTGTAGATGTCTTTTTAGCGACTTACTTGATTTTAAATGACGTATTAATATTGACATTTTTGTTGTATTGTGTAATTTTTATAATTCAGTTTACAATTCATGTATTTTTGATAGCTTTTATATCATGAATAATATGTGTAAAAAGAAAGTGTCGAGAAAGGAGCTGCCACCTGTGAGGCTAAATTTTAAGAGTTTTAACAAATAATTCAAATTCCGGTGTCGATTAAAGCGGCAGAGATTTTTATATTCTTTCAGAAACCTGTACTAGGTTTAACACACCTGGAGATAAAACTATCATAATTACTAATATTGTAAAGAGGAATATTTTGTATTTTTGTTTGTATTGAAACAACTTAAAAATTACTGAGGGATTTAAAAAAAACAACTATTAAAAAGCTACGTTTTCACTGAATAACATAGGCTATTTTTATGGTTTATTCGGGCTGTAAGCTAGGTACCAGGTGTTTTAAACCTGGTGTCGCATTCAACTTGTACAATGTTGGTAATATTTTAAAATAGAAACAATCTCGAATACAAATTCTTTTATTAATTTCCAGGAATTCAGCACTTCAACTTTTAAAACAATAATGCGCATTGAAGAGAACCCAAGTGTATACGGTGTTGTTTATTTTCGGGATAGTAAGTGACGACCTTTGTTTGATTGACTATAAGATCATCATCTTTCTCCTTATCCTACTCCTGTAGTGGTTCAACAAGTTTTTGTCCACCACATAACTCTATCATACGTCATCTCAGACATCATTCCCTTCTTGATCATGTCACCTTTCACCTAATCCATCCATCTCTTTCTAGGTCTACCTCCACCGTTGTACCCTTCCACACTCATAACTAAGGTTCTCCTTGTAACATGCGATTCAACCCTCCTCACATGCCCATACCATGCAAACCTTTTACTCCTTACTTTCTCTACCACTGAGGCTACTCTCGATTGAGTGTAAGATATGCAGGGAAATTGAGATATAACGGCTTATATAGACGTAGAGGAGTACATACTTCCCCTTCGTTGGGAGTTGTTGATGAAGCTATGACCTCTATTCATTTGTTTACTGCTAATATCCGTGTTATAGAATACGCTCAGCTATGCACCGTGCCAGAAAGTATGGCCGCCCCTTTGATTTTAAGGCTGCCACATTTCACTACAACCGCACATCGAGCTGTAATGGAAATAGTTAGTATCGAGATAAGAGAATAGATAAACTTTTAAGCCGAGGCTTAAAAGTTTATCTATTCTCAGTTAGAACGTACAGATAAATTCTGCAATTCTGTTTTAAATATTAGGAAAAGAATACTGCATACTGACGATAGGAGTAAATCAGGGTGCTTAGCAGAATGATGGGATTAGTCGGTTTATGTCCGATGTGGATGACGTAACGATAATTTCTTGGACCCCTGATTATTTTGTCTTATACACTGAAAAACTAAGAAGCCGATGCGAGCGAAAACTCAATAGTTTTTCCCCAGTTAGTTAAATACATTGAGTTAACTTTAAATATACTTTAAATATACTAGCTGTTGCTCGCGAATCCGTCCATATGTAATTAAAAAATATAGCTTACATTACTCAGCGATAACGTAACTTTTTAATAGTGAAAGTATTTTTGTTATCGGCCCAGTAGTTTTTGAATTATTTCAATACAAAAATACAATTTTTCCTCTTTATAATATTAGTAGAGATAAGTTAACTACTTAATTTTAATTTTACTTTAATCTATCTACCCTAAAACAGAGTTTTTTATAATTAAATGACATCCATGACCAACAGGATGCGTTAGACCAGTTGGTTGCATACCGCATAGAAACCTGTTGTCTGGAGATCTCATTGGTTAGGGACGAACAGTTCGCCGCATGCGTTGTTCATAAGAAGAAAGGATCGTGTAAAAGCAAGAAGACAAAAAGAAATGTAAGGAATTAGGATACATTTAATGTTTAGAGTACTATCCAATTTTAACATATGTAATACGGTTGAGATTTTTTTAATAACATAAGGTGGCAAACGAGCAAGCGGTCACCTGAATTCACCGAAATGAAAAGCGACCGCTGCCCATAAACATCCGCAATTGCAGATGTCTTGCCTACCCTTAATTGACGGAGGAGGAGACGCACATAAAGAGGACATTTCCCCTTCCTATCCGTCTTCTCCAGCATCAAATCCACTTTTCCTTTCCATCCCTTTCTCTCAAGAAAAGGGTGAAAAGAGACTAAAATTGGGCCTCCGGCACCACACTCATCGAACGAAACGCTGATTTGCTTCCACTTCACACCTGTCTTCTGTGTGGTCGTGGCGAGCCGGGCCATTCGTGGAAAGATGTTAAAGCGGGTTCTACCACTATTAACAGATATCAGACATAATACTGATGTAGTGAAGACTTTCACAGCAATGAAATTTTACTACATTTACCAAAAGATGCAAGGACATATTGAGGATAACAATATACAATTTAATTAATAAAAACTCTTAAGAGTGGATGCACACCTTTGACTAAACTATGGCACAACTGTTGTCGTCAATTGTTTCGTAGTCAACTGTTTAGTTTTACTAGCAATCGCGTAGTGTGCACCTCCATATAACCTTATAGGAATCAAATCGCGACTAACCAGTAGTGCAAGTCAAAGGTGCGTGCGTTATAAATTTACATATCTTGGTAAATGCTAGTACTAAATCTTTGATATTTTATTTTCAGCAATAAGAAAACTCCATCATGAAGGTTCTATCTAACTTGTTAAAAGATTCAAGAGACGAATGGCTGATAAATACAGTAAGTAAATTTACTCCTTCGGTAATCATTTTAGATTTCTACTTTTCATTTTGATGTGATATTTCAGACGATTTCCTTGAATGCGGTTAATCCAATAGTCGATAGGATAATGGAAGATGAGTCGGTTGAAGGAGTTGTGATGACTAACAAAGATGGTGAATATGTTTTTTTGCAATATTCAGAGCGGGCGCACACCTTTTGCGGACAACTGTTGCGATTGTCGTTTGTTTTGCAGTCAATTTAACTGTTTGGACAACTAAAAATCGAGTAGTGCATCTTCATATACATTCATAGAAACCAAAGCGATAGTAAACAGTTGTACGATAGTTGTGTCAAAGGTTTGCGCGTGGTATTACTTCGATTTTGAACTTCGTTTGTATAACTGTTAATGCACTATTTTTTAGTAACTACTTATTGAAAATTTTGTTGAATTTAAAATTAAGTCCATTTTGATCCATAGACGATAAACAGACAAATATTCTACTACAGGCTTACGCCCGTAACTCCGTCCGCGTAGTATTAAAAAAACAAAAGTGAGTAGCCTATGTGTTCTTCCAAACTAAGCACTACATCTATACCAAATTTCATCGAAATCCGTTTAGCCGTTTAGGCTACAAACTCTAACAAACATCCGTCCATCTAAACTTTCGCATTTATAATATTAGTAAGAATTAGTAAGAAGTAAGATTAGTAAGATAGAGAAAAACTTTAAATTTGACGGTTTATGTTTGTTTCATTTAAAAGGTTCTCCAATACTAACAAATATAAACGTTATGGGAGCAACTAACTACGGAATCGCGATGAGGAGGTTGGGGTTCATGGCGCAAGCTGGCGTCAAAGAAATTGTAAGATAATTCAATATTAGTACTATTATTCCATATATATTTATTTCTTTTTTTTCTATATAATACACTTTACAAGATTTGATATAAAAATAAAATGAAATATATTATATAAAAAATAGAGCACCACCGGCTGCGGAATCCGTTGACTCAAGCAACCAGTGGTCAGGACAGAGACAGGAACCGAATCACTATGCGCGCGGTTTCTAAAATAACCGCCTTTTGAATCCGGCCCTTAATCCAACTGTCTAGCGAGAGCTTCTTGAGGTCGAAGCTCTTCGCTATTAGCCCGTGTAGCAAAACGATTATTAGTACTGTTATTATTACCCGCAGATATACAGGAAATAATACAGGATAGGGGTATATGTAAGTGGTAGAGTTAGCTGTAGCATTTGCTTTACGAATCGTGAAATCTTCTGATGCCACGACCACAAAGTAGACACGCCTCAAGTGCAAATAATTCCACGTGTTGTCTGTCATTAAGTTTCCTTTCCTTTCTGTTTTATTACAAAAGGATGATGGAAGTATATTTGATTAAGGAGAGGATTAACAGGAAAGGGAATCCCTTTTCTGTCCATTAAAAGTAGACAATATTTAACCTTAAGTTGCAGATGTCTTAGGGCAGCTGTCGTTTTAGTATTTGAGCTATGTTGCCATTTGTTCATTTGTCACCTCATTATGTATTAACGTTACATACTGATGTAATAAATACAGCAAGAATGCCTACACCTTTGACTAAACTATCGCACAATTGTTTAGTCCCACTTTAATTCTTATTAAGCTTACATGGAGATGCGCACATTACTCGATATTTAGTTGTGCAACTAAACAGTTGACTACGAAACAATCGACAATCGCACAACAGTCGTGCGATTGTTTAGAAAAGGTGTACGCCCGCTCTTAAATTTATTATTGACTGGCTTTCGCTCTTGATTCCGTTTGCATGGAATAAAAAAAAACTGAGTAGCCTATGTGTTCTTCCAAGCTATCCTTTACGTCTATGCCAAATTTCATCGAAATCCGAACAGCCGTTTAGGCTGCAAACTCTAACAAACATCCATCCATCTAAACTTTCGCATTTATAATATTAGTATGGTAAATTTAATTGTATTTTTAAGGATCCCTTTGACGAAGTTTTAATATTAAGATTAAAAACGCAAAAATTGGAAGTTATGGTCGCCCATCATTCGGAATTCAACGTAATAGTTTTACAGCATTCAAGAGTATCGAAGCTTAAGAAGTAAAAAATAACTAAATCATGTGTATTTTATGATAATCTGTAATTTATATAAGGTTTTTTAAACTAGTGTATTTGTTTAGTATAATATTTTAAAGTAAAATTAATAATAAAGAGTTTGTAATTATTTGTTGTTCATGTTGGCACTAATGAAGGGAGGATTGGATTAGAGAAAATGTATAGCTTAAAGCGTGTCGTTAGTGTAGGGCTTTTTTATTAAGAACTAGCTGTTGCCCGCGACTTCATCCACGCAATATTAAGATAAAAAGTAGCCTATAATATCCCTATATACGTCAGCTACCCTTCAGTGAAAGGCCGGTCGAAATCGACTGTCATTTCGGAGATTACCCGGAACAAACGCGACTTGTGAACAGACAGACAGACAAAAAATTTTGTGAATGCGATTTTCGTTATCAGCAACGCAAATACACCATCTTTCCGATTTTTGGTGTCAATATTAGTAACAGACACTCCAAATTTATTTAATCTGTCAAGGTTTGTCATGTCATGTCATTTTGACATTTGCTATTGAAAATTTGACAAATGTAAACAATAAAATAAAATTTTCATAATTTCATGCGGATGAAGCCGCACGGGAACAGCTAGTGTATAGGTATAGAATAACTCTTCAAAAATGAGCTATGATTTCTGACATCCTAACCCACGAAGTAGTGTGTGTTTACGCTTTATTATATTAGTATAGAGTATAGATATACATGTAAAGTTTGTGCATGAACACATAAACAATTGAATTGGAACAAAATAGAATAAACGAAGAGCGAAATCTGTGCTACCTCAAACAGATTGTTTGTTGAAGTAACTACATATCTACAAATATATGTGAGACCGAACCACATTATTCAAGGAATGCCGCAGGCTTTGCCACGCCACAAAGCGGTCAGTGGGATCTATATTGAAATACAAAGCACTTTGACTCTGCTTTAACAAGTGTTGAATGTATTGTTATCTTTCTTTATTTAAAGAGAATGATTGAGACGACGATACAATCTATCTATACTAATATCACAAAGCGTAAACACACATTACTTTGTTGCCTAAGATGTCAGCAATCACAACGTATTTTTGAATAATCCCTTCTTTAATAAAAAGCCCTACACTTACGACACGGATATATATTTTTACGCTTTTAAACTTAAGGGATAAATAAATTAAAAAAAAAACACTTTCATGTGGGAAAGGGACCTTAAACTAAAAGCTGCCAACATTAAGGAAGCAAGGTTACTATGGTAACGTAATTTTGACATTTGCAATTGAGAATTTGACATATGTAAAGAATAAAATATAATTTTCATTATTACATGCGGATAAAGCCTCACGGGAAGCTAGTATTTTATATGACGTTTTATAGAGGAGCACACTTTTGACTAAACTATTTTCTTTTCGTTTTGAAGCCCATTCAACTGTTTAGTTGCACAACTAAAAATCGAGTAGTGTGCACACCTTCATATATCATAGGAATCGAAATGTGACAAAACAGTTTTGCGATAGTTTAGTCAAAAATGTGCCAGTGGTTTTAGTTGCGAATGTTTGTAAGATTATTGTGTGACATCAGGTTTGCGAGAAACTATTCGATATAGAATTTTTTATTGCATTTATGCATTAACCGTATGACATAGTTCTTAAAGTAATACGGTTGAAGTGGCAATGGGTCGGTCATATCTGTCGATCCAGAGACGCCAGGTGGGGAAGGAAAGTCCTAGAATGGAGGCCACGAACGGGGACCAGGAACGTGGGGCGTCCTCCCTCCAGGTGGACCGACGACTTAGTGCGCACGGCGGGAAGTCGTTGGATGCGAAAAGCGGAGGACCGCATTTTGTGGAAGGTATTGGGGAAGGCCTATATTCAGCAGTGGGTAGATAAAGGCTGTTTATGATGATGATGATGATGATGATTTATCCATCGCCAGTATCTGATGTGATTCACGAATAAATCTCATAGTTGTCGATGTCGAAAATTTTCTCACAAGATTTCATGATAGGTCCACTGTATGTAACGTATTCTTCTAGATATTATTTTTAAGATACACTTCATTCCGTGACTCAAACTCACTAGAGATAAAACTCATTTTTCACTAAACAAATCAGTGCAAAGTTAGAAAAAGGTTGATAATTTGTCACGAAAACTTTCTGCCCGAAGATCTTGAATAATAAATGACTTTTTGTTGTTTTTACCACGACCTTTGGCTTTACTTTATTAAGACAAATATAGCGACTTAATAGGTATACATTTAGACACATTAACTTATCGACCCGTTACAAAAGCAAAAATCAGCTTAACGGACTTTCAAGTTAACTTAAATGTTAACAAGAGCTATCTCTTGCTAACTTAAAGTAATGTAAGTTTTGTGATTCTTAGTATGATATTGGTATAATTAAATTCACGTTATCTATCTATACTATTATAATAAAGCGTAAACACACACTTTTTTGTTGCCTAAGATGTCAGCAATTACACCATATTTTTGAATAATTCTTTTTTTAATAAAATGCCCTACACTTATGTCACGCTTTACGCTGTATATTTTCACGCCATTAAACTTAGTTGGTAAATATTTTGCATAAAAACCCTAATATGGGAAAGAGACCCTAAGTTGCTGCCAACATCAAGAAAGCAAGATTGCCATGTTTTGTCATCGTCATGTCATTTTCACATTTGCAAATAATAATTTGACACATATAAACAATAAAATAAAATTTTCATAACTTTATGCGGATGAAGTCGCACGGCAACAGCTAGTAATGTATATAATTATGCTTTTGGACATGTTTCTGTAGTTGAAACCTACGGTTAGAATATTCTCGACACACTATTGTATTTTTAATAGCATTTTTCAAGCGAAACTCAATACGGGGATAAATTGAAACTCAGTAATAAATCAAATTCGCTGAGAAATAAATTGAAAAATGTAATACATTTTCAGTTTCGTGAAATTTAATAGGAAATGAAAATTCGTAATAAATAAAATTAAAAAGAAGAATTAAATGAAATGCAATCGTTATATCTGAACGAGGAAATAAAATTCAATTTGCACTGAGAAATAACAGCTGCGACAGGAATAATTTACAAAATGCCACATATATTTTGGAATGAATTTTTGAACTGTATTCTTTAAATTACTGGAATGAAAGATTGTTGGTAGAAAGTACATGACTAGTTATTATGATTGAAAATAGATATTCAACATATCAACAGACAGGACAAGATGAAACAAACCGCAACTTATAAACTCTATCACAAATACTTTACTTATTTATTTACTAGCTTTTTCCGTGTGACTTCATCTGCATAAAATAATGAAAATTTTATTTAATTGTTTACCTGTGTCAAATTATCAATTGCAAATGTCAAAATGACATGACATGACAAACCATGGAAACCATACTTCCTTGATGTTGGCAGCAACTTATGGTCTCTTTCCCACATTAGGGATTTTATCCAAAATATTTACTGCCTAAGTTTAATGGCGTGAAAATATAGAGCCTAATGCGTGGCGTAAGTGTAGGACTTTTATCAAAAAAAGAATTATTTAAAAACATGCTGTAATTGAAGACATCTTAAGGAACAAAGTAGTATGTGTTTACGCTTTATTACATGAGTATAGAGTATAATTAGATAAATTCAGTAATAATATTTTGAGTCTATTCCACAACAATAGCAAAATAAAATTACAATGTTATCTGAAAACGAAGTAAAAACTTATTTCGATCATAAACTCGATAAAACTTGGTCCCACAAGACTAAGCTACGAACACTTTATAGTTTTGTCGTTGTATTAGCACTTCAATAACTTACAACTAACTTAAGTTCATCCGTTCTCGGAGATATCTGGAACTAGATTCAATATACAATCCACTGGGCAGTGCAACTTCACTGAAATTGATACGTTTCAGATAACTTGAAAGCTTTGAATTATTTGTACCATTTAGTAATATATTTTACTGTGCATTTGTCGGTATTTCGTATATATTTGTTAAGAATGAATGTGGATGGCTACAAAGAGGAAGACCGAAGAAAGTATGGATGGATTGTGTGAAAGAGTATATGCTTAAGAAGGGAGTGGATTCAGATGTGACGGCTGATAGAGATGTATGGAAGAGCAGTACACATATGCCCACCCTCAAAAATGGATAGGAGCAAGTTAATGATGATAATATGTCACTATTAAATATTACTAATATTATAAATATGAAAGAACGGATCTCAATTAAAGGTATAGATGTAAAGCATATTTTGGAAAAACTCATAGCCTACTTGCTTTTGTTTTTTTTTATTCCACGCAGTCGAAGTCGTGGGCGAAAGTTAGTTCAAAGATGAATGGAATTTTCATCATCACCAGCTCACACTATACGTCCCCACCGAGGGGCTCGGAGCCTACCCTAAAGTTAGGGTGACTAGGCCATAGTCAACCACGCTGGCCAAGTGCGGGTTGGTTGACTTCACACATATCTTTGAATTTCTTCGCCGATATGTGCAGGTTGTATCACGATGTTTACCTTCACCGTAAGAACGTCGGGTAAATTATGTACATATGAAAATTCGAAATATCGAAAATCACATTGGTACGTGGCGGCGGGATTCGAACTCAAGACCTGTAGATTACAAGTCAAGTGCTTAAACCACTGAGCCACCGACGCTCGGACGAATGGAATTTTCATGCGTACATATATTTAAATGATTATTAACACTGTCATCTACTAAGTAAAACAACTAAAAATAAGTCATTAAACAAAAAAAAAACATAATAGGAAATAGTTTTTTGCAAATAAACGACAACTGCATAGCTATCTCTTTTTATCTTTCCTTAACATCATATATTTATCTCTCTCTTGTAACGAATTGAGACTAAAAGTGATGGTGTCCTTAAAATATTCAATTTTAATTTTTCATCGTAATTTTACTGCAAAACTTGTTTATTTAATAAAACAAGCATCTTTTTTGGGATATTGTCTCATTCAATATTAAACTAATTCGACCACGAAGGACTACCATTGTTTACTTTGGAACTTTCTCAAATATACAAGAAATACCAAAGTAGGTAATAAGATTAGTAAATCCCAAAGCGTCTTAGGATTGTTTAGATAACAGCCTGTTTATTGTACGGCGAGTTTGTCTCTCAGAGACATTGAAAACTTAGTTATGTTTCTTGATTTTACTTTGAGGCTTATGTAATATGTTTTTAATTATTTGTTTTAACAGCATTAACACCTTTATTTTTTTTTATAATATAAGGTTGCAAACAAGCAAGCGGCCACCTAAATCCACGGAAATGGAAAGCGACCACTGTCCATAAACATCCGCAATTGCAGATGCGTTGCCTACCTTTAATTGACGAAGGAGGAGATGCACATAAAGAGGACATTTCCCGTTCCTATGAATCTCCTCCGTCAAATCCACTTTCTTTTCCCATCCTTTCCTTTTAAGAAAAGGGTGAAAATGGAAAGGGACTAAAATTGGGCCTCCGGCACCACTCTCATCAGACGAAACGCGGAATTGCTGCCACTTCAAGCCTGTCTTCTGTGTGGTCAGTTTTTATTATTATTACAAATTGTGGTTTCTGTTTTGTAGATAATAAAAGCATCTGTGATTGAAGTTATGGGAAGTAGTCGCTTCGCTATTTTGGCGAATTCGGGTAACCGCTTACTCGTCTACCACCATGTACTAATTAAAAATATTTACTATTTCCCATTATCTCTTCGTATTTATTGCTTGCAATTTTTTGATTCCAAATTTCTCCACATGACCGCTGCTACTTTCTCATTTCCTCTAATAATAAATGATTGTTTATTTTATCAATTCAAAGTATTAGATTATTAAAATACTAGCTGTTACCGTGCGATTTCATTCGCATGTAATTTTAAAAGCTTCATTTTATTGTTTATATTTGTAAAATTATCAACAGCAAATGTCAAAATGACATGACAAACCTTGGCAATATTGCTTCCTTTATGTTGGCAACAACTTATGGTCTCTTTCCCACATTAAGGTTTTTGTCCAAAATATTTACCCCCTGAGTTTAATGGCGTGAAAATATATAGCCTAAAGCGTGACGTAAGTGTAGGGCTTTTTGTTAAAAAAAGAATTATTCAAAAATATGGTGTTATTGCCGACATCTTAGGCAACAAAAAAGTGTTTGTTTACGCTTTATTATAAAAATATAGATTGTAATCAATGTATTTACATTTACATGTTAGTAAATTTTAACAATAAGACAAAGGTAGTTTATACGCTGGACTATTTAGTTTGAGAGGCAATATTTTAGCGGAAGGTTCCCGCATCTGTACCCTATCTATTCAAATAAAGAGACAAGGGTAAGTCTAAAGGATTCAAGGGATTTTAGAGGGTTAAAGGCTAAAGTACTCGTAAAACATAATACACCTGTTTATCCCTTGAGAAATCTTCAAGGGACCGGCTGCTTGTTTGTGTTGATAATATGATATGTTGTACTCCAAATGTGTTAATCTTTTGACGTTATGTAGAAATTTAAAACTATTTCTTAACTGTAGGCATATCAGTCCGAGAATAGTCGAATAATTCAAGAAAGTGGTACTTTTAAACCCTAGGAAAAGTATTGAATATAGAGGGGTACAGTCAGGCGGATAAATATAAACATTTTTACAACTTAAGAAACTTACGAACGGTTTTGTCTTCAAAAAAATATGCCCTTATTTATCATTAAAATCGGCCCGGTAGTTTTTGAGCTATTACAATACATACAAAAATATAAAAATACAAATCTTTCCTCTTTATAATATTAGTATATGAAGATTAGGACGTCGAAAGCATACGGATGTAAATAATATTTTTGTAACCAAAGGCGCATGATTTCTGGAAATTCGTAAATGAATTAATGATGCTGACTGTACAACCGTTCTAGGAAGAGATGGATGGGTTGCTTGTGAGGTGACATGAAGATGGCAGTGATCAATCCAGAGAACGAGGTCCTCAACTGAACTTACACGGTTACATGATAATGTGCCCTAAAAACTGTTTAAAAAACTACAGAACAAAGCTAACATTTTAAACGAAATGAAATTAAGTAAACGGACCCAAACTCAATTCGAATACGAGTTGTGAATTAACAAGCGTGTTTATTTACATTGTATGTCGTATAGTTCGTGACGAAACGTGTGTGTACAAGATTAGACGGTTTTCAGTTTGCCATATACAATACGAACAATTGTTACTGACTGCCTTTTTCCATTATTGAATTCCAGTTCCCTTTTTCATACTATTTTATTTCTCTTTACTACTTTATGACCTTGAATGTCTAAATAAAAAACGTCCATTTTCTGATCGACAGTAACGCCATCTAGTTATCATTCAGGTTAACTTTAAATATATAAAAAGTCTTAATGTTTATTCTACAGTATTTTTGACAGACTTCCCAAAAGAAGGAGGAACTCAATTCGTCTGTATGTTCTTTTATGTGTGTTACGGCATAAAGCCGCCGCTAGTGGACCGATTTTAATATTTTTTTATCCGAAAGATAGTGGTTGCAGGTGGGTCCCATTTTTTGTTTGATTTTGTTCGGTGTACTACAATGGAATAGCACGAAAATTACGGAATAGCAAGAAAGTATTCATAACATAAGCTGCATAAATCTAGTATAATTTTTTTCGATAATATGATGAATACTTTCATGTAAATTTTCGTGCTATGCCTCCTGCGAGCTGATTTATTAAATGACATATATCGGCTAAAGATTAACAAGTTTTACATTTATTTTAAAAACATTAATAAATATTACAATATTGAATATTAAAGTGTAAAATCATGAAAATTGTTTATCAGATTTTTACGATATGACATGTCGTAAAGGTGTGAAATGGGTGTCATAAAATTTAACAACCAGCTTAGCAAAATCCACTTTGACATATTACATCAGTCGTGTTAAAAAGATCTAAAAGTTTCATAAGAGTTATTATTTAAGAAAAATCGAACAAAAATTTTTTTATAATGTTCGTAAGATACGGGTATTTTAGCACGATTGGGTTGTTTTTCACACTACCGCGTCACTTCAGTCAGCCCGTGAACATGGCGCATGCAACTGTGCCGAAATATCGGGAGCTAAAACAATCCAATCGTGGTAAGAAACCCATATCTCACGAAATATAATTGTAAAAACCACGACAGTTTAAAGTTTAAAAAAATTTTAAAAATCGGTCCACAAGAGCCGGACATAACACACATAAAAATATAGACAGACCAATCGAGTACCTTTTTTTTTGGGAAGTCGGTGAAAAAATAATAAGGCTATGAACACTTCACATAGATGAAGCATCTCAGTGATCCGGCTCACAATCCAGTTCAATTGAGTTATGAGCTACAAACGGTGAGTCATCACAGCATAGATTTAGTTGAGCCATAACTCAACGGCCCAAGTCTGTGAGCTGATTCACAGCTGACACGTCCTATTACAAGTATTGCAGTCGAAACCTTAGTGTTAATTGACATATAGTTAATTAACTTCTTAATATTTGGGCTTTCGAGTCACGATCGAATCTAATTGGGTATTTGTTAGTATTTTCTAGGGCTTTGTTACACTTATATGAGAACAAGGGTTCTAATTAGAGGACTATGTTGTGATCATTATTTGTTACTATCTTTCGCCCGCGACTCCGTTAGCGTGGAAAAAAATAACAAAAGTGAGTAGCCTATGTGTTCTTCCAGACTATCTCCACTTCTATACCAATTTTTATCGAAATCCATTCAGCCGTTTAGGCTACAACCTCTAACAAACGTCCATCCATCTAAACTTTCACATTTATAATATTAAGTATGATGTTGCCATCTCTTACTTGTGTTCGGTGCACTGAACTTGTACAGTAAAGATTCTGGGTTGGATGCTCAATTGTTTAGTAACTTTAAGATCGCGCGCACCTTTGACTAAACCATCGCACAACTGTTTAGTCGCGCTTTGATTGTTATGGGCTTATAAGGAGGTGCACACTACTCGATTTTTAGTTATACAAACAGTTGAATGGCTGCGAAACAATCGACAATCACACAACGATTGTGCGATAGTTTAGTCAAAAGTGTTTGCCCGCTCTAACTGTTTTACAATTCAAATTGTTAGTGTATATATTTGTTTAGTAATACCCTAATGTATAAACCAAAAACGCCAATAGTAGGTTTGGGGTACGGACTACCGATCTTGCGGTCGAGGGTTCGAATCCAGCCATTCGATTGTCGTGAACCATATCCTAGCACTAACCTAGAGCCTACTTGGAATGGTTAAAGGAAATGTTTGTAAATCAAATAATCTACTAACACCTTTTTTAAAAAAAACTAACATACTCAGAGTTATTTAATGATTACGTACGCAGTCCCTTACTGGTATGTTTTGCTAAATGGTCAGTAATAGGACGCGTTTTCTTTAATTTTAAAATATAATTAATGTGAAAATTATATCTAGGTTATTATTAATTAAATTCGATTTTAAACAACTGAAACATTTTAATATAGAAAAGATAGTTTCCATTAGAAGATAATTAATAATTTATCCGTTTCCTTGGTAATTTGTACGGAAGGTCAATTACGATTTCATTATTATTTTATGTCGAACTAGCTGTTACCATGCGACTTCATCCGCATAAAATTATGAAAATTTTATTGTTTACATGTGTCAAATTATCAATTGCAAATGTCAAAATGACATGACATCATGACAAAGTATGGCAATTTTGCTTCCTTGATGTTGGCAGCAACTTATGGTCTCTTTCCCACATTATGGTTTTTATCCAAAATATTTATCCCCTAAGTTTAATAGCGTGAAAATAGACTAAAGCGTGACGTAAGTGTAGAGCTTTTTATTAAAAAAATTATTCAAAAATATGCTGTAATCGCTGACATCTTAGGTAACAAAGAAGTGTGAGTTTACACTTTATTACAATAGTATGGATATAGATGACGTCACAAAACAGTTGAAACTGTAATATTCCTAGATTGAAATTTAATTTAGTATACAGTATTTTCATATTATTATTGAAAATAACGAAATTACCGCAATAACGGAAGGTACAAAATGACAATGAAATAATTGAAACATTACCAAAATTTTACTTTGAGCTGAATTCAATTGTTATGCTCAACGGTGCTTAAATTTTGTGGTTATTTTACGCACAGTTGCTTAACTGTTTGTTTTACTTACTGTATATTATCGTCACCGTATTACTAGTTTTCGCCCGCGACTCCGTCCGCGAGGAATTAAAAAACAAATGCAAGTAGCCTTTGTGTTCTTCCAGACTATCTACATCCATGCCAAAAATCATCGAAATCCGTTCAGCTGTTTAGACTACAAACTGTAACATCCATCCATCCATCTAAACTTTCGCATTTATAATATTAGTATGAAATATGATATTAGTTACATATATTTAAAGAAATTAATAATTAGTTTCGAGCGTCGGTGGCTCAGTGGTTTGAACACTTGACTTGTAATCTACAGGTCTTGGGTTCGAATCCCCCCATGTACCAATATGATTTTCGATTGTTTGAATTTTCATTTGTGCATATACAATAATTTACCCGACGTTCTTACGGTGAAGGAAAACATCGTGATGCAACCTGCACATATCAGCGAAGAAATTCAAAGATATGTGTGTCAACCAACCATACCAAAGTATACCAACCCGCACTTGGCCAGCGTGGTTGACTATGGCCTAGTCACCCCTTACTTCGGATAGCTGATGGTGATGATGAGATGATGCTGAGCTGGTGATGATGATGAATAACTAATTTAAAATTTTGTCCTTTTTCACTTTTAACAACGATAAAGTGGAAATAATAATGCAAATAAAATGAATTCTAAATTATAACGCCGACGTATAATTTTACAACTCGGTATTGTAATATTTCACGTCCGTCCGCAATTTTCCCGCCAATTACCCGGAACAGTCGGCCCCAAGCCGCCGGAAAGCGAATGTATCTTCCACGAGAATATCCACGTCAACTATTACAGTTAGTATGGCATTATGAATACTAGTTGTTCCCGTGTGGTTTCCGCGTGAATTTATAAAATTATTTTTATTTTTCACATTTGTCAAATTCTCGAATGCAAAACAAATGCATAAATGACAACAAAGCCCAAAGGTATTCGTTGCCATTTGTGCATTTGTTTGTACTCTTGTGCGTTTTGTGCCTTTGTTCAATGTCAGAATGAATGTCACTGGATACCAATTACCGAATTATAGCAATCTTGCTTCCTTGATGTTGGCAGTTTGTAGTTTCTGGTCCCTATCCCACGTGTTTTTTTCCAATGTTTTAGCCCCTAAGTTTGATAGTGTGAAAACATATAGCCTAAAGCGTGTCGTAGGTGTATGTTTTTTTTTATAAAAAAGAGTTATTCAAAAATATGCTCAGATTGCTAACATCGTACGCCACGGAGTTTGTTTACTTGGGTGTTTAAGTGTGTTTACGCTTTATTATATAAGTAAAGCTAAAGAGCACGCGCACACCTTTGACCAAATTATTGCACAACTGTTTAGTCTCGCTTTGATTCCTGTGAGCGTATGTAAATGGCGCACACTACTCGATTTTAGTTGTGCAATTAAACAGTTCAATTGTTAACAATTGACAATCGCACAACCGTCGTGCGATAGTTTAGTCAAAGGTGTGCGCGCTAAAAGTCTACCTGGATATAATACCCTTAACTATTGCTTATATGTACCCTCTACGAATGATACTACGAGAGCTACGATGCCTCTACAGCTACGACGGTGTTGAAGCCTACGTGTTTGACTACGCCACAATAAAACGTTACGTCATAATAAAATACAATCAACTGTATGTTTTATAACATGTTTCGCGTCAGTGAAAACGCACATTTAAGCTCCAAGTGTCAATAAAATAAATGAAGGTCAAACATTTTAATTCTCATGTTTTTGCAACTGAAATATGCATACGATGAAAGAAAGTTGATTCAAAAGGAAATTAATTCGGCCAGTTTTTTAGAACTGTATTGTTCTATTTTAATTAACTTCAGCTGAACTCTGACAGTAACGAAATTGAAAAGTCAAAGAAAACATTTTATGGAAAAGAAACAAAGAGTCCAAATCTTTTGATGTTAAATGACGAATATTAAAAAAAATACAGACGAATTAAGTAGTCAGTCGTCTTTTGAGAAGTCGGTCAAAAAAGCAACGGTCGTCTCTTAATGCCGTTTATAAAAATGTATTAACTTAGAGTAACATTTTGAACATTTAAATGCAATCTATACTAATATAATAAAGCGTAAACACCCACTTCTTCGTGACGTAGGATGTCAGCAATCACAGCATATTTTTGAATAATTCTTTCTTTAACAAAAATTGCATGCAAAACTGCATTCTAAAGAACATAACCTAAAGCGTGTCATAAGTGCAACTAAGTGCGTGAAAACGCTATTAAACTTTGGGGGTAAATAAACCGAAACAAAAACTTTCATGTGGAAAAGGGATCACAAACTACAAGCTGCTTACTTAGGCAAGGTTATTATGGTGATGGTAATTTTGACATTTGTAATCGAGAATTTAACAAATGGAAACAAAAGCTTTAATAATTTCATGCGGTTGAAGCCGCACGGGAACAGCTAGTTTGTAATGAATAAAACATAATTGGAATAGTTTCATTTTACTTATTTTTACTAAAATTAATTTTGAATATAAACATACGTACGATAGATTATAACTTAAAAAAGTAGCATTTTAAATAGAAATGATTAAAAAACTAGCTGTTCTCGTGCGGCTTCATCCGTTTGAAATTATGAAAATTTTATTTCAAATTATTAATTGCAAATGTCAAAATGTAACGACATGGCAAACCTTGGCAATATTGCTTCCTTAATGTTGGCAACAACTTATGGTCTCTTTCCCACATTAGGGCTTTTGCGCAAAATATTTACCCCCTAAGTTCAATGGCGTGAAAATATATAGCCTAAAGCGTGACGAAAGTGTACGGGTTTTTATTAAAAAAAGATTTATTGAAAAAAATGCTGTAATTGCTGACATCTTAGGCAACAAAGAAGTGTGTGTTTACGCTTTATTGTAATAGTATAGATATAGATAATGATTTTATTTTGTATCATGTAATGTTTTAATGAAAACGTTAAAAGATTTCCCATCCAAGCTTTCGTTTTAATATTAGTAAGATTATAACCATCTTAAAGGCATCTACACTGATTTATTCAGCACGCGGTGTCTCTACGACTATGTCGTTTATCCCAGTTGTCCTAAACGACAGTATATTTATATAATGATAGTCTTTTACATTATTTAAGACTAGCTTTTGCCCGCGTCTCCGTCCGTGAAATTTAAAAATAATAATAGAGAAATCTAAAAATATAGCCTATGTCACTCACAGATAAATAACGTTTCTAAAGGTGAAAGAATTTTTGAAATCATCCCAATAGTTTTTGAACTATCCATTATAATCAAACAAACAAAGTTTTCCTTTTTATAATGTTAGTATAGATATCTTTAAAGTTATTTTGTATTTTTCTTTGAAGTAGAATGAGGGGGTTATTAGTAGTTGGAAACATAGATGGATGTTTGTAGAGTTAACAGCGTAAACTGCTGAACGGATCTCGATGAAATTTGACAAAGATGTAGTTAGTCTGGAAGAACACATAGGCTAGTAATTTATTTTTTAAATTCTACGTGGACAGAGTCGAGGGATGAAAGTTAGTATGTCATAATCTTTTTACATGTACAGAAATACATATATTAATTTTTTGTTATGGTCGTCGTTTCGATCCAAGATTCTTCTTTTTTTAATATTTCCCTAGTTCCTTGTTATCGTGTTCTTAGTGCTTTAAATCTGCGTTGATTTAATAATTGATGACTCTCCTGTTTGCAGTAATCTCGTTAGATTTTCGATGCATTTGGCAAAGGCGAGATTCATAAATTTTGATTAATTAGGTCGTGTCCATTTTGAAATCAAACATGTGTTAATGAAGAACATGAAGGGAATTCATTGGAATTCCCATTGGGGTATATTAGGAAATATTTATTCCGTCCGCGTAGAATTAAAAAAAAAACAAAAGGGAGTAGCCTATGTCTTCCAGACTATCCTCTACATCTATGCCATATTTCATCGAGATCCGTTCAGCTGTTTAGTTTGCAAACTCTGAAATTCAAATAAACTTCGCATTTATATTAGTATGATGAGTTTAACTTTATGCAAAGTAATTTGCATTAATAAACGATTCATCGAACATCCTGTATAATGTCAATCAATGTAATTTAGCATACCACACACGTTTGATTTGTCAACCAATCAACTGTAATCTACAATCAATGTTCACTTCCATAAATTTATTTAATTAATTCTTGTTTACTGATTTGACATGATTCAAATATTCTAATAAAAGGAAAACTTTTAACTGTGTTGTATCATTTATTTTTCCCTTACTTATGATATGAGAGCGTCGGTGGCTCAGTGGCTTAAGCACATGACTAGTAATACAGGTCTTGGATTCAAATCCCGCATTTACCAATGTTATTTTCGATTTTTCGAAATGTCATATGTACATAATTTACTCGACGTTCTTACGGTGAAGGAAAACATCGTGATGCCTGCACATATCGGCGAAGAAATTCAAAGATATGTGTGAAGTCAACCAACTCGCTGTGGGCTAGCGTGGTTGACTAGGCCTAGTCACCCTAACTTAGGGTAGGCTCCGAGCCCCACGGTGGAGACATATAGAGAGCTGGTGATGATGATGAATCTATGATATGCCTCTCGAGTCGTTATTAGGTCACCTGAGAAGACCTTTGACTAGCTGTCGCCTGTGATCCCTCATGGAATAAAAAACAAAAGAAAGTAGCCTATGTCTCCTTCCAGAGTATCCTTTACATCTATGCCAAATTTCAACAAAATCCCTTCAGCTGTTTAGTCAACAAACTCTAACAAACATCTATCTTAACTTTCGCATTTATAATATTAGTAAGAGAAAGATAAGATTTATGCCGCTAAAGACCTCTTACACTTAATCTCTCTGAATGCATAAATGTTATTTGAATCTGCTTTTAATTGTTAAAGTACCAATTTTGACAATGTTTACAGCAACTTGTAACCTCTAAAACAAAACGGTTACTTTTGTTAAACCATTAACTTTACTTATTTTATCTATGTGCACGTATGCGTTAAAAGGAACGGTCGGCTGCGTCCGACTCACACGTAACATCAATAAACCAATCTGCACAAAGAAAACGTTGTTTTAGTTACTTCTACTTATTAAGAGCGGGCGCACATATTTGACCAAACATTCGCACGTTTGTTATGCGATTGTCGATTGTTTAGCAATTCAACTCATCATCATCATCATCATCATCACCCTTATGCAACTCCCGTAGGGTCGGCGCAACAGGTTTCTGTCCTCCAAATAACTCTATCATACGTCATCTCAGTCATCACTCCCTTTTTGATCATGTCACCTTTCACGCAATCCATCCATCTCATTCTAGGTATACCTTTACCGGTGTACCTCCACACTCATAACTAACGTTCTCATTGTAATATGAGATTCATCCCTTATAGCATACCTATACCATGCCAACCTTTTACTCTGTACCTTCTCTACCACCGGTCGATTGTTTAGCAATACAACATTTTTATATGAGAGCAGTGGTCATCAACGCCCATGGACATCCGCAATACAAGAGGGACAGATGCGTTGCCAGCATTTGAGGATATTGTAGGCTCGCTTCTTGAAAGACCCTAAGTGGTACTGGTTTGGAAATTGTATGTTTAGTACAGTTTGTTTACAACTAAAATCAGCTAGACTAAACGGTTGTGCGATAGATTAGTTTCAGGTCCACGCTCGAATTATTTCTCGCTCTGTATTCGTGTTGAATGTTTGTGTATATCTTTGGCTCTGTCATAGTTACCGTAGCATTAATGACGCTTATCAAAAACAAACTTTGCGTGAGAAATTAATTTGGAAGTTTCTGGCTGAATAGTTGCGTGTTGTGACACGGCGGTGATTGACGCTTGCTAATGATGTAGGGGACAAATAAGGGTGTAAACACAATTGGAGCACAAGGAACAAGGGACAGAGAATTTAATATTTAATTGGCCGATACAGCAAAAACAAAAACTTAAAGATACAAAGAAACTTAACAAATTCCTTTAGATGTTGTAATAACTTTTAAGATATTTATTCAAATATTAAAATAAGGTTTTTTACGTTAAATTTAATGTATACGCAGTATACGTTTTGAACAAGAATGTGGTCGTCAGAAATCTTTCAATCTGACATATTTTGACACGTTCAGATTGAAAAATGTTAGTGTATCTTTTGTAGTTATGTTGAGCAGTTGAAATTAAAAGGTACAATGGATTATGGATTTTATTGTAATAGGGTTTGGAATGAAAATGCAATAATAAGATTACGAGATATATTTCTAATTACAATATCAGTGCAGACGCATCGAACCTTATTGATTGTAGAAGCAGTTTGCTTTGGTAATGTACATTTATTTTTAATTTACCTTTAAACATATGAAAGAATGACAAAAACAGTTGGCAGAGTAAATTAAATTTCGTATAAGGTGACGAAATTTACATAAAAATATAGAATAATAATTTTAACGTTCCATAGATAAATGGTTTGGTTAATTAGTTAGTTCTTTACACAAATATGAAATCTATAAATTGTAACTAAATTTAAAATAGCTTACAGAATTATGCGTGAATAAAACATGAGACTGTCGAGGACTGACGTCACAAATCATACGATATTGAACACAACATAGTAGATTTATATCATGTCAAAACATTTAATTAATACTCTTTTTATACACTGTCCAAGTAGTGACGTAATACACTTAATATCATGTTTTTGTCTACGTGTATTTTTTAACTTATCATCCGTAACTTGGGTCATAAAAAATACTTAACAATAAACGATCACAATTACTTAAAATATACACAAAAAACTTAACATTTTTAGGTAAAAGTTAAAATTAATTAGATTACTAATGACTTGCTTCATAGGTAACTTTTATATGACATTTGGTTTAATTTTAAAATAATATATAATATAATATAATATTAATATAAGTAAATAAGCTTTCTTTTTATTTTGTGTCACAATAACCATTGAAGAGACAACGAAAACACTTAATCCAATATTCTTTTTATAGAAAGTTATAAAAATAATACGTATTACGAAATTTTTATGGGAACTTCTTAAAGCTGGAAGGTTTTTTTGCAAATAATATTTTTCTTGTCAATATTCGGATTGTCCAGATCTGACACGCGTCAGAATTTGGTTGACCAATGTGTTATGTTTTTCTTTTGGTTTCTTTCTTTTGGTTAATCTTTAAATAATTGAAAAAATATAGACAGAAACATTATTTTACAGGCAAACAATATATATATAATACTATGTGTATGTAATATGAAGATATAATATATTTAACTATAATTATATCACAAAACAGACGAGATTATGCTACGATTTAATAATATTATATTATGTTTTATTATTTATTTAAATTATGTTTAAATTTTATTTTAATATATTTCTATTATTCCTACATACCATTATTAAATATAGTTTACTATTAATATTTGAATACAATGATTTTATTATATTCGATAGTTTTATTGAATTATTAAAATGTTGCATTTTATTTACATGAATCGAATTACATTTCGTCAATGTTTTTTAATAAACATTATAATAATTTGCATTATTAAATACTGTATCTGTTGTTACTAAGATACATGTCATTTAAAAAATAAATAAAGTATAGTTCTATATATTAAAGTTACTTTGCCGAAAATTTAGTGCTCATATATTTGTGGTAAAAATTAAAATAATGTAGTATTATTAATAATGTGCTGGTTGAGCGATATTATTTAATATACTTTTATAAGAGGTGTTCAGAAAATGTATGTTAAATTATTAATATATTTAAGATAATATTCTGCAATAAATATTTATGATTTCTATATATTTGACTATTAATTGTTTTTTATGATTTTATATTTTTCATCGTCTGTACCTATTCTAAGATATTAATAATTATTTACATTTCTAGAAGGCCTAGGATATAAATTTTAAATACACCATGGTCCTTTCACTTAATAAATAATTATACAAAAGCCTTAAATAAATTGGGGTTCATAGAAAATTGACTAAGAAATAAATAGTTTATTTCTAAATAATCTGGTCAATGTAGAATTTATATATATAAATATATTGGTTGAAATTTGTAGAGTTTTATATATTTTTTTAATACTGATACATTAGGGATATATTTGACAAAAATAATGTTTAGTATGGCACGAAGTAAAATTTCTTTAAACCCTCGAGCAAACGATGGGAAAGTGAATCTTTGTAACAGCTGTCTAAAACATTTCACAGAAGTTTTGACTGTCTCTAGTCAGTATTTCTAAGCAATTAAACGCGCGACTTACGCTAGGATATAAGTGCCGCGTGGTACTAGGCTAGTCGAAATTTCATTTTTAAGATTATTTTGTTCGTAAATTATTAACACATATTAGGAAGCGCCAATAGTCAATGCCAGATAAATGGTTTGGGGTCTGTACCGTTGCGGTCGAGGGTTCGAATCCCGCCATTCGACTATTGTGAACTACATCCTAGCACAAAGCTACAGCTTAGTTGGTATGGTTAAAGGAAATATTATTAAATAAACAAAAATCTACTGATATAAAAAAAAATAATACCACAAGAAATTTTATATAAATCTATATATAAGAGAAAGTCGTGTTTGTTAATCTATTTATAATTCAAGAACGGCTTTAGCGATATGGCTGAAAATTGAGGAGGTAGCTTAGAGCCAGGAGAAAGACCTAGGATATTTATTTCGTTTATGGATGGATGTTTCTCTACCTCGATGAAATTTGGCACAGATGTAGAGGATACTCTGGAAGAACACATAGGCTATTTACTTTTGTTTTTTTAATGCCACCCGGACGGAGTCGCGGGCGAAAACTAGTATCATATAAATCCTTTCAATTACGAATAGATAAAGAACATGCCTTTAATTATCGATTTTTTTTAAACACTAATAGATTTTTGTTAATTTACTAATATTTCCTTTAACCATTCCAACAAAGCTGTAGGCTTGTGCTAGGATATAGTTCACGACAGTCGAATGGCGGGATTCGAACCCTCGACCGCAAGATCGGTAGTCCGTACCCCAAACTGTTAGGATAATATTGTATCTGTGAATTCCGGTGGCCACGATACAGGCATTGCCTAGTGTGGCCATCACCAGATAAGCTTAGCTAGAATAACTTAAAATAACGACTATTTTTTACTTCCTGTTATGTATAATTTTAAGGTATTGTCAAAGTTATTTGTTTTGTACAATCTTTTTGGTTTAATAAATTTTAATAAATATTGGCGCTTGACTATTGACTTTTCCAATCCCTATTCCGTTTGCTCGAGGATTTTATGAGTACGTTATATCAGTTTAGAGATGTCTACATTTTTAATGATATCGTTATAATAATCTTATTTAACTCGATAATGTCTTGTTTATAATTTATGCTAGATTGATATTAACCCCGACGCCGGCGACGAAGTCATCTCGGATCAACGGGAGAAGG